CTCAGCCTCCCAAGTAGCCTGCCATAGCCCCCAGCTGTTTTTTGGTTGCAGTTGTCATTGTTGTTTTAGCTGGCTTCGGCTGGTTTCAAACCTGTCAGCATCAGTGTATGGGGCTAGCGCTGTAACCACTGTGCTGTAGGCTCCGAGCCAGTCCTTATACATCCTTAATGCCAGTGTCTTCAACATCACTCATGAAGATTCCATCATCTTCAGAACATATTTTTACTTCTAGATTATTTATTGATCTTTGTGCGATGCCATCATTGCAAAGTATATCCCAGGGACAACTATGATAACATTAAAACAGTTTTTTTCATTTATCATTTAAGTCACTGTTTTTCTGATTATAGGTTATAACTGGTTATTTGATTTGTAAACTCAATTTAGTACAGGTTTGAGCATCCCTAATCTTAAAATTCGGAATGCTCCAAAATCTAAAACTACTACTTTTTTTTTTTTTTAATCCAAAACTTCTTGATTGGGAATACGATTTTCAAAGGAAATTCTGATTTTCAGAATAGGGATGCTCATGTTGTAAGTCTGGCATCTGTTACCTCTACTGGATCGTGAGTTCAGTGGGACTTGTTCTTTTAGTAGTCTCAGGACTCCACATGGTAAGTGCTCAGGTGCTTACTAGATAGATGAAATTGGTCTGAAAAAGCTTATTTCCAGTGTCATTGAGTATTTCTTTTTCTGAGGGCATACTCCAGAAATAGTAAAATCTGTGTTATTAATTTGCTTCCTATATTATGGCTGCTTTGGGGTGGCATCTGTTAGCATCAGACTAAATTGATTATAGCCATTCATAACACCACATCTCTTTCATAAGCAGTATATGGGTATTCTAAAGAAAGAGAAAATATCTCAACTTACTATCTTTAAGATTCATGACCTTTTGAAAATCAGAGTTAAAAACCTTTTTTCTCTGAATGTGTGGTGTTGGTCATCTTATGCCCCCTGAATGCTGTTAGTATATATGTTAAGTTCAGTAATTATATTTCTAATAATGGGAAAAGTATAAGTGAATTTTTGGAAATTATTGCTTTGTTTTCCCCCTTACAGAAAGCACAGGAGTGTGGCTATGACCAGTCGATGATGGTCAGTGTATATGTTAAGTTCAGTAATTATATTTCTAAAAATGGGAAATGTTATAAGTGAATTTTTGGAAATTATTGCTTTGTTTTCCCCCCTCTCAGAAAGCACAGGAGTATGGCTATGACCAGTCGATGATGGCTCGCTTCTACAAACTGCTGGAAGAGAATGTAGAACACAATATGATTGGCAGGCTACCTGTTTTACAGCTTACTGTTCAGTACAGGATGCATCCAGACATATGTCTCTTCCCATCTAGTTATGTTTATAACAGAAACTTGAAAACAAATAGGTGGGTTCCGTTCCTGGCCTGTGAGTTTACTTTTTGTGTGAGTTTAGCTATTTAGGAAGAACAGCCATTTTACTGTAGGTTTTTTCCCCCCTTACTGCCTGTATCATTACAAAATTACTATGTTCTTAAGTCTTATCATAAAAAGCACAATTATGAAAGTTCAATAATTTTCTCTACTTATAAAAGCCATCATGCTGATTACAGCAAATGCAAATAAAAAAATAAATCACCCATATTTATACTATCCAAAAAAAACCACTGGTAGCATTTTGCTATATCTCTTCCAGTCCTATTACTATACATAGCCTATTTTTACTTTTTTTCTTTGTAAGATGTTTGGGGGAAAAAGTTGACCTGTATTCTATAATAACATTTTATGGTATGCTTTTTTTCACTTTATCAGTAACAGATTTAACTATTCAGTCATAGCTGGGGTGTATGTATGTTCATTTTTGAGATACAAGTCTTACTCTTGTTGTCCTGGTTGGAGTACAATGGTATCTTCACAGTTCGCTGCAGTACTCTGCTCCTGGGCTCCCACTGTTCCCCTCCCTCAGCCCCCTGAGTAGCTGGGACTGTACAGGTGCATGCCACCATCCCCAGCTAAGTTTTTTCTATTTTTTTGTAGAGATGGAGTCTTGCTGTTGCTCAGGCTCATCTTCAACTCCTGAGCTCAAATGACCCTCCCGCCTCAGCCTCCCAGAGTGGTAGGATTACAGCTGTCAGCTATACTAATGACATATTTCTCTCTAACAATAGAATAGAAAGAAAATCTATTTTGTACCTTTCACTGACATCTGTAAAAGAAGGTTCCTTCCACACACAGAAAAAAAATGGTAGTAATAATAAAAAATTTTCGTCTAACTAAACTTCTATTCTGAATGGTGCTGCTCTTTTACAGACAGACAGAAGCCATTCGGTGTTCAGCAGACTGGCCGTTTCAACCTTACCTGGTATTTGATGTTGGAGATGGATCAGAAAGACGGGATAATGAGTATGTTCTCCTCTTGCTTTGATCCCCACTGATGATCCCCCAAATTGTTAACATTATTTTCATTCAGATTTGTATTAAAACATTTTCTGTACATAGATATCTGCCTAGTGCTAGGGTGCAGTCATTTTCACTCAGCTAGGTTAGTAGCTTCTCCTCCTTTCTGTATGTTGGGTATGAGGTTACCTAAGATGAGGTAAGCAAGCACTTGAGCAGGTGCATGTTGAGATCACGGCAGTGAGTGAAACAACAAATGTGGCCCCACTGCAAGATCATTGTGGTAATGGGGAGGCAGACCTTAACCAGATAATCACCTGGGTCAGAAATTACACAGCTGGGGTAAGTGCTTGAAGCGTAAGTGTGGATTCAGTTGAGTTAAGATGTGAAGGGGAGTAAGGAAGTAGAGACAAGTTGGACAGGATCGGGTTTTGAATAAGGGAGCAGGTTCAGGTGCTCTATAAATGACAGCAGGGAGGAGTTATGGTGTTGCCAGATCACAACAGTGTCAGAGGAGCCAGCGGTTCTTGGGAGAGGAGAGGAGGAGGAGTCTGGAGGCAACATTTACCAGCACCACTATAAACCATCCCTGTCATAAAGTATGAGGAGATACAGACTGCGCTTCTGTGTGGTGAGAGGGCTACAGGGTGAGCAGGCGGTATCCTCAGGTGAGTGGTATCATGGAAAGTGCACAGGTTGGGGGAGTGACATTTGTTGAAGGTGTTAAGTACACAGAGGGGTAATGTGGCCCTGGGTTTGCCACACTCACCAGGTCCCAGCGTGAATATTGTAGTGAGGCCTGCTGTAGGAAAGCAGAGGACGGAGAGTTGAACCCCAGCGTGTTACAAGGATGGGAAGTTGTGAGGGAAGTGCTGACCAGAGAGGCTAAACGAGCGACAGCTGAGGAGATTGAAGAGCTAGCCAGCTGACTGTGTTCTTGGTCTTGAAGTTAGGATACTGGATAGTTAAGGCTCTTTAAAGCAAGACAAATCCAACAGCCTCAGGAATGAATCGGTAAGTGCAACATGTCCCCTAGTGTTGCTACCTTTTGGAGCTGAAGGAACATGTAGTTTAGTGACTATGCTGGGAGTGCGATATGAGGTGATCAAGGACAGCAGTGAGGATGTGAGCCTGCTGCAGGGGCCCACATTGCTCAACTCCAGGGGCTGCATCATTCACACTAGGCTTTGTGGATATCACCTCTTGGTCATGTGTGGTATGCGATCTGCATGGCAGTGATGGGGAGTTACGGAAGATAATATGTCTAAGGCATTTTCTCAGATGGTAAATCTAAGTAAGCATTTTCTAAGATAGTAAATCCTTAACTTGTCTTAGCTGTTATTATTCAAATCTTTTTTTTAGAGACAGAGTCTCACGTTGTTGCCCTTGGTAGAGTGCCATGGAGTCACAGCTCACACAACCTCCAGCTCTTGGGGTTAGGCGATCTCTTGCCTTAGCCTCTTGAGTAGCTGGGACTACAGGTGCCCACCACAACGCCTGGCTACTTTTTGTTGCAGTTCGGCTGGGGCCCAGTTTGAACCTGCTACCACCAGTATATGGGGCTGGCATCCTACTCACTAAGCCATAGGCCCCGCCCTCAGAGTTTCTTTTTTGTAAGTAGTGTTCCTACTATTGACTCTCCCTGTTTTAACAGATGAAGAAATTGGTGCCTAAACTTCAGTTGATTCATAAGTCATCTTTTTCCTACAACTTCATGTTGGGCATGTTATTTTTATATTTCTTCATATGTACAATATTAATGCTCATAACAGTGGGGTTTTTTTTTTGTCCTCACTGTTGGCATGGCCACAGCCTAACTCACAGCAACCTTAAACTCCTGGGCTCAAGCAGTCCTCCTACCTCAGCCTCTCAAGTAGTTGGAACTACCACAACTCATAGCTAATTTTTCTTTTTTCTTATTTTTTGGTTTAGTGAAGATGGGGTCTCTCTTTGCTCAGGCAGGCCTGAAACTCCTGAGCTCAAGCGGTCCTCCACTTTGGCCTTCTAAAGTGCTGGGATTACAGGCGTGAGCTACTGAGCTTGGCCATACAGCCTCTTTGAGTCATTGCTGGCTGAATAAAAGATAAAACCTCTCTGCCTGTCCTTTCCTATAATGGGAAACAGACTAAACGGAACTTAAGTTAGCATTTGGACTGCTGTTAGTTTTGATGTGTTGTGTTTTCTTTTCTCATCCTATATAGCTCCTACATAAATGTTCAAGAAATTAAACTGGTGATGGAAATAATTAAGCTTATTAAAGAGAAAAGAAAGGATGTTACTTTTCGAAACATTGGCATAATAACCCATTATAAGGCCCAGAAGACAATGATTCAGAAGGATTTGGACAAAGAGTTTGATAGAAAAGGGTGAGGTATTTTTATAAATATTTCTAGTTTTCCTTTTTTTTAGAAGAGAGAGGATAAAAGGAAAAAAGAAGAGGAAACTTAACTCGAGGGACTTGTTTTACACTGTGTAAAGTGGTGATAGGACACAAGGAGTGGGGATGTTGGCTTTCGTAGACTCATGCTGTGTAGATACACTTGTGGCTTCTATAGACGATCTGCTGGCACTTGGAATGTCAACATGATACTTGACAATGGAATCAACTGAGGAACTTTGCAGATCTTGAGTTCATGATATGTTATTCTGAATTCTAATTCTAGCCATATTAGAAGTCACATTTCACTTTGGATAAATTATTTAACATTTTTATTGCCTTTATGTGTAAAGTGAAGATCAAGTATTTGTCTCCTCCTTACCTCAATAATAAAATTAAAGATTAAATATTAGAAATCCATTCCTTCAAATTTTTTTCACTTAAAAACACACAGATTATCAAAACTGACTCTAGGAAAAGATACAGACCTAAACTACAAGTAGAGAGAATAAGTAAAGAAACATCTCTCAAGAATAAAAAGCTTAGGAGTAGGCTTTGCTGGTGAACTCTACCAAATATTAACACAAAACAAGAATGAACAACCAGTTCTTCTCACACTCTTCCTATAAATAGTACACTTTCAAACTGATTTTATGGAGCAGCTTTTTCGGGGTTTTTGCTTGTTTTTTTTGAGACAGAGTCTCACTACATCGCCCTTGGAGTACCATGGCGTCACACCTCAAACTCTTGGTCTCAAGTGATTCTCTTGCCTCAGCCTCCCTAGTAGCTGGGACTACAGGTGCCTGCCACAGCACCCAGCTATGTTTTTGTTTTTTTTAGAGATGAGGTCTTGCTCTGGCTCAGGCTAGTCTTGAACCCATGAGCTCAGGCCATCCACCCGCCTCAGCCTCCCAGAGTGCTAGGATTACAGGCATGTACCACCACACCTGGCCCATGAGCTCAACATTAATACCAAAGCTAGGGAAAGATATCACAAGAAAACCACACTTATTTCAGGAAGGATGTTTGAAATTCTTGTTACTTTTATTCAATATGATAATGGTAGTTCTAACCAGAATGGTGACCCAAAAAAGAAAAGGCATCCTTATTGAAAAGAAAGAAGTAGGACAGTGCCTGTGTCTCAGTGGGTAGGGCGCTGGCCCCATATACCAAGGGTAGTGGGTTCAAACCTGGCCCCAGCCAAATTGGGCATTGTGGCGGGCTGTTAGAGTCCAAGCTAATCTTATATTTGAGTCTCCTATTCAGAATATATAAAGAACTCTTAAAACTCAACATTGAATTGAATAGTCTCACTATGTCTCTCCCTCAGCAGAGGGCTGGGGCGTCACAGCTTACAGCAACCTCAAACTCTTGGGCTTAAGTGATTCTCTTGCCTCAGCCTCCCAAGTAACTGGGATTATAGGCACCCACCACAAGGCCCAGCTATGTTTTGTTGCAGTTGTCAATGTTGTTTAGCTGTCCTGGGCCAGGTTCAAACCCACCACCTTTGGTGTATGTGTCTGGCACCGTAACCACTGTGCTACGGGTGCCAAGCCTTAAAATAATTTTTTAAATAGGCCGAGGATCTGAATGAACATTTCTTTTTTTGTTGTTGAGACAGAGCCTCAAGCTGTGCCCCTGGGTAGAGTGCTGTGGCATCACAACTCACAGCAACCTCCCAACTCCTGGGCTCAAGCGAGTCTCCTGCCTCTGCCTCCCAAGTAGCTGGGACCACAGGCACCCATCACAACGCCCGGCTGTTTTTTTCGGTTGCAGCCATCGTCGTTTGGCAGGCCTGGGATTGGATTCAAACCCACCACCTTAGGTGTATGTGGCTGGCGCCTTAGCCACTTGAGCCACAGGGGCCAAGCCTGAATGAATATTTCTCATACAAATGTGCTAATGATAAGCACACAAAAAGGTGTTCAACATCATTTATTATTAGAGAACCGGAAATCAAAGCCACAAAAACACCACTTACCCTCAAAGGTGGCTGCACATGCTGAGTATTCCTTATCTGAGATGCTTGAGATCAGAAACGTTTCAGGTTTTCTCAGATGTTGTATTCTCAGCCAGCTGAATATCCTGTTTCCCTTGTGTGTCATGTTGGCACACAAAATGTTTCAGATTGTAGAACATTTTGGATTTTACTTTTCACATTTGGGATGCTCAACTTCTAAGAAAAACAGATAACAAATGTTGGGAAAAACATGGAGAAATTGAAACTCAATTTCTACTTTCTCACAATGCCAATAAAAATGTAAAATGGTGACTCACTGATGATTCCTCAAAAAGTTAAATATAGAACTACTGTTTGACCCAGCAGTGCCCCTCCTAGATACATGTATCTGAAAGCATGTTCACACAAAAACCTAAACACAAGTGGTTGAAGCAGCATTGGTCGTAATAGCCATAAAAAGAAAGTGTATGATCTAAATGTCCGTCAGTGTGAACAGATAAAGTACAGTATATGTCTGTACAGTGAAATATCAAAAAAGGAATGAAACATTGTTCATGCAGTATTTGGATGAGTCTTGGAAATGTTATGCTAAGGAAAGAAGCCAGTCACAAAGATCTGTATTTTATGATTCCATTTACATGAAATTTCTAGCATAAGAAAATCTATGGAGACACGAAGTAGATTAGTGGTTGCCAGGGGATGGGGGAAATTGAAGCTAACTGCTAAGGTAACCATTTAAAAAAAAAGTCTTGTAAAAAAACTCTTTAAAATCCAAGATAAATACCTGTGTATATATTTAGCCTTTACCTTTTTCCAGTAAACATGTTTCTGTTTTTTAAATAGACCGGCAGAAGTAGACACCGTGGATGCTTTCCAGGGTCGCCAGAAGGACTGTGTTATCGTCACGTGTGTTAGAGCAAATGCCATGCAAGGTTCCATTGGGTGAGGAACTGTGATCGTTTCTTTGTAAGCTGTGAAATGGATCCACTGTAGTTCTGCTGTTCTTGGTGTCTTACATATTTTATGGTGTGAAACTTTTATTTAATAAGATGAAATAAATGGAATAAGTGTACTTTACAGGGGCATATTACTCTCACACAGCATGTGTCGTCAAGTGTAGTTTTCCCTCTTCTCTCTCTGTTATCTGACAGTATTGACCTTAACTGCTGTACTATCATGTTACAGAAAATGCTGGTGACACTTGGACAAGTGTCAGAAAACTCCCAAGTCTCTGGGCCCAAGACACTAATTTGATTATTCCTTCTTATGAGAAGCAGATGAAATTTACAACTGTAGGTGGTACCTGGGCTCAGTGGGTAGGGTGCCAGCCCCATATATCGAGGGTGGCAGGTCCAAACCCAGCCTCAGCCAAACTGCAACCAAAAAATAGCCGGGCGTTGTGGCAGGTGCCTTGTAGTCACAGTTATTCAGGAGGCTGAGGCAAGAGAACTGCCTAAGCCCAGGAGTTGGAGGTTGCTGTGAGCCGTGATGCCATGGCCCTCTAGAAATTTACAAGTATAAATTTAATTATTCTTAAAATAGTAATTTATCACCTCAGTGGCTAGGGCGCCCAGCCACATACACCAAAGCTGGTGCATTCGAATCCATCCCAGGCCCGCCAAACAACAATGATAGCTGCAACCAAAAAAAACAGCCGGGCATTGTGACGGGCGCCTGTAGTCCCAGCTGCTTGGGAGTCTGAGGCAAAAGAATCGCTTAAGCCCAAGAGTTTGAGGTTGCTGTGAGCTGTGACGCAATGGCACTCTACCCACGGTGACATAGACTCTGTCTCAAAAAAAAAAAAAAAAACAAAACTAATTTATCTCTGCCCCTCCCTAGGATGGCTACATGTACAAGTAGAAGGCAATTATCACAGGACTATTTTATAAATATTCCATTCTTTCCCAACGAATTAGGCATTTCATCTTTATCATATACCAACCACTTGTACTTCTGAGCTCTTTTCTAATCCATTGAAATATTTATCTGATGTTTGTGTATTTCTGCACTAGTTCTATAGTATTTTACCAATCCAAATATTTCAATTTAAGAGTAAGTAATGGAGCTAGTACCATACTTTTAGGAAATTTTTAAAGCTTAAAAGCCATACTTTTAAAATTTCCACTATCTTATCTAAGTCAAAATAGGAAAGAAGTGGTGATCCGGTTTGTTTACTTTTTAGTGGGAATCGTGTCTGTACTGGGCACTCTATATTGGGACATTGTGAAAGCGTGGTGGTTTTTACACTCCTTCTAGCAGAAGGAGCACTAGGAAAGCTGTCTGATACACTGCCTATGTCTGTTACTTAGATATATTAAGTTATTCTATAGCAGTAACTCTTTTTTTTATTACTTAGATTCCTGGCAAGTTTGCAGAGATTGAATGTCACCATTACACGAGCCAAGTACAGCCTTTTCATCCTTGGACATTTAAGGACCCTAATGGTAGGTACCAGAGAGCTCTTGTAGGGCCCAGACAACTCAAAAGTTTGCCCATTGCTACTATTAATTGGATCAAGTTTTTGTTTTTATTTTGCATCAAAGTGGAAATTATTTCTAGATTACAAAGTAATGGTTGTTACGTCTTCCATCAACTTCTTCTAGGAGCTTTTGCATACCCCTAAATCACTCACCCTTTTTCAGTCCAAATATCTATGCTAGGTTCTCAAGATGACCTTAAATTATGTGGGCCGTGCCTGTGGTGCAGTGAGTAGGGCACCAGCCCCATATACCTAGGGTGGTGGGTTCAAACCTGGCTGCGGCCAAACTGCAACAAAAAAATAGCATGGTGTCATGACGGACACCTGTAGTCCCACCTACTCCGGAGGCTAAGGCAAAAGAATTGCCTAAGCCCAGGAGTTGGAGGTTGCTGTGAGCTATGACACTACCATAAGATTATTGAGAATTTACATGAAACCTGCAAATGTGAAGCACCGGAACAGTGGTTGGTATTTAGGAAACACTCAGTAGATGGGGTTGTTACTGGGCCAGCTTAATGCCAGAGACTTCGCAGGAGCGTGCTCTAATCTGCTTGTATATTGGCATCAAGAACAGTCCTGCTCCCTCTGTTTCACTTTGCCTGTTAGTGCCTCCCGAACTCCTCTGCTAGGACAGGTGCACCTGTAGACGATAAGTGTGGATTTACATTTTCAGTAAATAAATGATACAACTTAATTCGGTGGTAGCCATATATATAGTACATGTTTGCTGTTTGTCTCAGGGTTGATAACTTTTCAGTTTTTCTCATTTCTCTTTAATAATGTCATGTGGTTATCTAAGAGAAGACCCAAATTGGTAAAACTTTTTTCTCCTCATTTGGGTTGATACCACCAGAGGGCATTCAGGTGCACATTCTTATTTACTCCTTTCTTGCCTAGATCTATGGTCTTGAACTTTTGTTGTTTGTATCCTACCCTTGAAGGAATTTCACTCTCCTATTTCAAGGTGATATGAGGAAAAAAAATTATCCCAAATACTGCTAAAGATTGTGGTTTTAATGTATTATAAATATTGACAATTAAATTAAAGTGATAAGGATGGGATGGCACCTGTGGCTCAGGCCCCAGGGTACTGGCCCCATGTGCTAGAGGTGGTGGGTTCAGACCCAGCCCCAGCCAAAAACAAAAAAAAAAAAGTGATGAGGCGACTGTGGCTCAGTGGGTAGGGCGCCAGCCCCATGTACCAAAGGTGGTGGGTTCAAACCTGGTCCCAGCCAAACTGCAACAACAACAGTAACAAAAAATAGCCAGGCATTGTGGTGGGCGCCTGTGAGTTTGCTGTGAGCTGTGACACCTTGGCATTCTATCCGGGTAATGAAGTGAGACTCTATCTCTAAAAAAAAAAAGAAGAAAGAAAAAGGAAATAAAGTGATGAAACTGTTCCATCACTCTGAAATGTACCCCGTGGAATAAAAAGATAGCAGTATAATTCCTTCCTCTCTTTGAGATTGTATTTCTAGTTCTACTTGTTTAGGGTAAAATTGAGTAATCTTTTTTTATAATTAAAAGCCTTTTTTTTTTTCTGGCTCGGCACCTGTAGCTCAAGCAGCTAGGGTGCCAGCCACATACACCATAGCTGATGGGTTAGAATTCAGCCCGGGCCCGCCAAACAACAATGACAACTACAACTAAAAAATACCCGGGAATTGTTGCGGGCACCTGTAGTCCCAGCTACTCGGAAGGCTGAGGCAAGAGAATTGCTTAAGCCCAATAGTTAGAGGTTGCTATGATGCTACAGCACTCTACCCAGGGCAACATACTGAGACGCTGTTTCAGAAGAAAATAAATAAAAGCCTTTTTTTTTTTTTTTCTTTTTTTGAGACAGAGTCTCTATTCCCTAGGCTAAAATGCCATGGTGTCAACCTAATTCACAGAAACCCCATACTCCTTGGCCTAAGCTAGGCTGTCAGCTTCCCAAGTAGTTGGGACTACAGGTACCACGATGTCTGGCTAATTTTTCTGTGTTTTCTTTCTTCAAGTATGAAAGTTTATTGAGGAAGCAAAAGATAGATTTACAGAACACGAGCAAGATTCATCATAGCCAGCAAAAGGTCTCACTTGGTCCTGATGAAGGAAAAGGCCTGATTTTTCTGTTTTTCGTAGTGAAGAGGTCTCACTTTGCTCAGACTGGCCTTGAGCTCCTTGGCCTCCCAGCGTGCTAGGGAGTACTGGTATGAGGCACTGCACCCAGCAAAAGTCTTTCTATTAATCTAACTAATCTAATAGCCTTTCTATTAATCTAGTCTAAGTCTACTTCCCCACGATAAAAACTTACATAAATTGAAAGTTTAAAAAGTTGTTTTTTAATAACTATTTGGGAAAACTATGTGAAGGGTACATGCAACCTCTCAATATTTTCTTTGCAACTTCCCATGAGTCTCTAGTTATCTCAAGGTAAAGCTTTTTTTAAAAAAATTAATTTTCGGCTCGGCGCCTGTGGCTCAAGTGGCTAAGGCGCCAGCCATATACACCTAAGGTGGCGGGTTCAAATCCCCAGCCCGGGCCTGCCAAACAACAATGATGGCTGCAACCAAAAAAAAAAAAATGGCCAGGCATTCTGATGGGCACCTGTGGACCCAGCTACTTGGGAGGCAGAGGCAGGAGACT